CTGTTCTCAGATCCCTGCCTGAGGAGGGCCAAAAAGGACCTTAATAAGGGTCATGCAAGGGCATGTAAAACACCACCACCTGATACCAAGAACCCCCTTCATGTCCCTGGAGGGGTTGGGAGAGCATGACCCTCTCATGTAGCATCTGATTCCATTTAAAGCAGCTCTGGGAAACAGGCCTTGCCTCCTCACAAAAAGCTCAAGGACATGATAGCAATATGTAACAATTATCACAAGCTAAAGAGAGGACCTCTGTGCTGTCAAGGGCTGCAGGCCCTGGAGTGGGAACTGAATGAGTTACAAGCAAGCTACTTTTGACTTTCGATTATTACCCTCAATTCCCCTTACCCCTTCCCGCTCCCACACATACCAACAGCAGAAACAAACCTGAATTGCTCCTCACAATAGTCTGAAAATGAGAAGCTGGCAAGAAAAGGGTGGGGAAGCAATGCGTGGGCTCTCCCCGCTCACTGGACTCAAAGAACTTTTCGTCACTAATTGACCATGGAAAGGAAGGCTAAGCACTAGCTCCATTTCATCTTGCAGTCAGGGGATATGATCTCTAGACGTACAATCGAGTTTGTTAAAATGAACACATCCAAACAATTCTCAACTGCCCCCTTGTCCAGTTCAAGCCTAAGAATGTTTGCTGTATGTCTAGTGCATGTAGAGGGCGTTAGATCTCACCTGTCCAGAAAAAACATCTCCTACCTCAGCTCACTTCATTACACGCCTGGAAGATGAAAACAACCTGAAAAACGCAGGGGTTACAAACCAAGCAATACTAAGCTAATATAAGGACATGTTATTTCAAAGAGCTACTTATGCAGTCATTTTGAGATACTGAGAAACAAAATTCAAGTAACAAGAAAAGAGCATTCGGCACCCATCCTATTGAACAAAGGAAGACAGCATGGACCTAGAGCAATCAGGCACTGGATTTATCTGAACCCCAGGAGTGCAAGCATCTCATCTAGTTTGGATGGAGGAGCTCAGCAGGGCCTCGAGCTGCATTTGAGGAGCTAAGGTAAGGTGTTGACTTGAAAAAGGAAAGATTTCCACTCTGAGACACCGCAGAAAAAGGCAGGCAATACCTTGATGCAGACATCGCCTTGCAATTGGCCTGTGATTGCCGGTTATACGGTACTGTGATTTTAAGAATAAATAAAATGGAAACTCATCAGGTGTGCCAGTGGCTTCAGGTCCCTTTGAGAGAGGCAATGAGACATGTGCACACTGGAATGCTGACAGAAGAGGGACAGCAAGGCAGAGGCTCCACCTAGAGCTACGGGAGAGATGGGCCCCGCACTGGGAGAACACTGTCCTCTTACACCAGTTCTCCAAATACTGGCGGCTTACACAACCCCTGAATGGCGTGGCAGTGAGGCTGCGCGGCCTGCAGAGGCGCTGGCACACGCTGGATGCTTGCAGAGTGTGGTAGGGCAGGTCTTCTTAGCTCCATCTTACAAATGCAAGAGCCACCAGGTAAAGAGTGAGATATGATGACTTGTCCAGCCACGGAGTGAAGAAAGGGCAGAACTGGGACTGGAACCCGGCTTCCGGAATCCAAGCTCGGGAAGCTTTCTGCCACCTCACATGGACAGAGGGCTCCTTTGCTAAACTTGGTCCCCAGGTTGAAATAGAGAGCGAGCACCAGTGTACAATGGCAACGTTCTACAGAGACGCCCGCCACATTCTGCAAAAGAAAAGGATGAGCGCGACCTGCTGCTCCTGTGGAAACACACACTGTGCACGCTAGGCTGAATGGGAAGACCCACCCCCAAGTGCAGGACGCCGGCTGGATCACACTCCGCCGACTCCAGCAGGGTCTCCTGGTACCCTCTCGCTTTCACGGCGGAGGAATTGGAAGGAGGCCTCTCTTGCTCTATTCTCTTTGCAGTAAAACACGGCCTCAAGGAACTCCTGAGTCCAAACAGTAGGGGGACTCACACTGCAACACCTGCGGCCACTGTTGCCAAAGCCGCCTGAGGCCACAGCTCGGGGCAACCATGCCAGGCGAAGAAATGTCTTGAAGAAAATCATGCTCACTGTATTTCCCAAAGTTTATTAGGATGTGGCTGGAATCATGCATTCTTTTTCTTTAAAAGAAAAGATGGGAGTTCCACATAGTTCAAGACAATAAGTTTCTTGAGTGCCTACTATATGCAAGATACTACTCTAAGCACTTAGCATCGATTATCACTCATTCCTGCCCACAAACCTTTGAGGAAGGTACTGTTACTACTATTTTCATGTTATAGATAAGGAAACTGAGGCACAGAAGTAACTCACCCAAAGTCACACAAGTAATACTAGCATCAGGATTCATATCCAGAGTCAACCCCTTAGAGACAAATGACAGCCCCTGTCCTCCCATCTGCCAGAAAAGAATAATGAACTGAGAAACTAGAAAATAAAGAAAGTAGAACTTCAAAGAGGTCAGAAACAGGGAAGGGAAATTACTAAAGAATAATGAAAACCTCTTATTCTTTTATAAAATTGAAAAAACTTCAGAAATAACAAGTCTGGCCTTTGAAATCCCTCGGCCACTAATTCAAAATGTCGCCTACTAAGCTTGAAGAGGCTCTGCTTCTCTCATTTTGGAGCCTCAATAAAGGCAAGAACCACTTGTTCTTTGGTGGTTTTTAAAGTAACTATGTTTTGTTAATCCTCCTTTCTCTTTGGAACAAAGAATATTGGAGTATTTTTTGTGACTTTAATCATTTTTCAAAAACTTCTTAGTTTGGAAACTGTTTACAAAGAAAACTTTGCTTTGAAGCCACTGGACATACAGAATATGAGAGGGCTAGCAAGGTACTAACCTAGTGAACTTGCTCAGTGAGCCATCATTAATGCCATTTTGTATGCATTCTCCTTCCAAAGCTGAGGGCTTCTTTGGAGCTTATTTCAAAACAAACTAGTCTCTTTACAAACCACACAACACAAAGGTTGACAATCATTTCAGATAGTCCTTTCCCAGGACAAACCAGCATGCGGGAAGAGAAATCCTTGTGTAAGGTAGCCTGAGGCCAGCCGACACTGGCCTGCAGTCAACCACCAACACCAATCTGTAAGGAGAGTGAGGTAACTAACCACTGAGAAAGCAAGGGAGGGACTCGAAGACCACATCCCTCGGGGTTTGAACCCTCTTATAATTTGCACGGAGGGGGAAAATGCAAGTAAACATGAGTCTGTGGTGAACTTATCATCCAAGAGGCAATCGCTGGATGATCCCATAGAATCTCTCTCATTCAGACAGATTTATTCCTGGATTTGATTATTTGCTTTAATGGAGCAACAGCTGACAATCTAAAACTAGCAATTCAAAGTCATGCCCAAGCCTCTCTCGGTCATGCCAGCCGAGAAAGTCTCAGAGCTCATTTTCTTCGTAGTGCTCATCTCCACTGGAAACTATATCGTTTTATTTTCTCATTGTCTGCTTCCCCACACAAACTCTGAGGCAGGGACCTCATCAGTGGTGTTGTCTGCTGTCTTCTCAGTGCTTGGGTCACTGTGGGCATCCATGAGCATCCCAGGTTTAATGAATGAATGAAGCCACTGACAACTTGATAAAGATAAGTTAGAACTTTAAGGTAAGGAGACCCATCATTTAAAAGCCATACCAGAATCTAGGAGCCCCAGTGAATGTTCTCCACTTTCAAGCACCTTGGGAGGCTGCTATAAACTAGCAGCACCACTGCTTTGAATCTGCTCCACGGTGTGGAATTGCTCAAGGGCAGATTTGGCTTTGTGAAATAGCCAAAGTCATTCAGAGCTAAACCTGGGGGATAAGTGATCATGGCCAAAATATATGTTTGATGAAAGCAAAATGTGTCTATAAATTAACAAGCCTGACTCTCTATATTTGGCTGGTAAACTGGTTTTGAAGGAAATTCAGAATGGCCTGAGCTACAGCAAATCGCTGGCTCAGTCTCAAGACTCTAAACTAAGGTGGGTATTTTACAAAGAACAAAACTAAGCTGTGATAAAATGTACCCAGGCTAGACAGAGGCCAAGAGGACCCCCCAGAGGCCTGACCTGTGATATTAGCTTTGCCAGTAATTTGCCCTGAAGCTTGCGTCACATTATTATTATTATTATTATAGTAGACAGAGTTACTCTCTCCGGGCATCATTTTCCCCATCCGGGAAAAAATAATGAACTGCAAGATCCCATTCTAGTGAAGGTCTAGGACGCCTGTTTAAAAACCAGTCACAATCCACTGCGCTTCATACTTCGTATGCCTCTGTAATGCCCACAATATAATTTTTGCAGCAGGTTCATGTCACATTTGCTTAGGCACAAACTAAAATTAGTTTTCACTTCCTGGGCGCAGCAAAAGACAGTTAAGGGAGGCAACCCAGCAAAGGGCGCTTGCTCGTGCCTGTACATACTTCCGACTGCGTATCAGGGAACTAACCGTTCGCTTGCTCAGATCTTTCTTCAACTGTTGCAAAAGCAGATAAACCTCCCATGCGTGACACAGAAACACTAGTCAAGAGCGCCCACCGAGGCTTCCTAGCTAGTGCCGGGCTGCAGACGCTCTGCAGGACCCACGCGGGATGCGGCGGGCACCCACCCTGCGCGGAGGGCCAGGGCGAGAATCAGCCGCGGCGCGGCGCCGGGAAGGCAGGACCGCCGCCCAGCCCGCTCGCCGCCCCGGGACGGGAAAGCAAAGTCCGGGCAGCGGCCGAGACGCCCCCAACCCCGGCCCGCCGGCCCCGATTCCGTCCCGACCTTCGCCCGCCGGCCCGGGACGTAGGGCGGGGAGAACAGGGGGAAAAAGCGGGAGGCACCTGCCTTCTGCTCGCCGGCCTCAACCCTGGCCGGCGGGGACAGCCAGGCGCTTGGGCGAATCCCCACCCCCCACCCCCGCGGGTGCTGCGAGGCCCCACGGACCCGCTGGCCCGGGGAATTCCCAATTTCCTCCTCCCAGCCCCCTACCACGGGTCCCCGCAGCGCCCGGCTAGAAGCCAGACCAGCCGCGAGCGCGAACCCACCTGGGGTTCCGGGGGCCACCGCCGTTGCCTGGCTGCTCGGCTCGCGGGCCCCGCTCCGCCCCCTCCAGGGCCCGCCCCCTGCGGCGTCCCCGCCCCTGGCCACCGCCTGCCGCCCTCCTCCGCGTGCCGGTTGGCGAGGGTGTGACACGTGATAGGGGCGGGGCAGGCGGAGGGTGCCGGGTGAACCTGGGAAGCCACACCGAGGGGCGGAGCTCTTCGCCCGGGAGGCCGCTGGGAAACCCTCTTTGGAGGCTCTGGCGCGCGGTGGCATCTGGAAGTTGTAGTTCTACCTACCGTGCCTGGAATGGGCAGGGCCAAGATGTTCTGGGCCACCCCTGTAAGCGAAGATGGAGTAGACGCCGAGCGGAGGCCGCTGGGAAGCGTAGTCCCAAGACTGTGTGTCACAGTGTTTTTCTCCAATAAAGGGGAAATCCATAAGGAAAACTCTCCAGATAAAACTTTAACGGATGTCACCAAATTGGGGACATAGGGTTGCCTGAGTGAAGTTAAGACACCATGAGGGAAAAAGAGCAATTTCAATGACTCTAGTGCAGGATCTGCAATTCCCAAGCCCAGCTAGCGGCTGAGGCGCCCTTCATGCTGGGTCAGCACGTTTCCAAGAACTGTCTTGGGACTTAGTGAAAGGAAACATTTCAGGACAAAGTTCCTTCTCCTTTTTGAGGTTTGGGGCAGGTGACCATTAGTACAGTGAAAAAGAAAGGAAAAAAGAAAAGAGAAAGAAGAAAGACAACTTCAGGAAGAGGATTCAGTATGTAATCAATAATACAAACTTCATGGGACCCAGAGAAGAATATGTGTAATATTCCTGTGCTGCATAATAATTACGTATATACATCTCTCTCTATATATATGTGTGTGTGTGTGTGTGTGTGTGTGTGTGTGTATACTTATACATAAGCAGTTCAGGTGAAGGACAGTAAATAGGGTTACTTCAATATCTTTTTGTCCTCTTTCATTTGTTAGTACTCCCAACATCTAAAAACACCTGCTTTATCTGATACCAGTATATGTGTATGTATAAAATCATATATTGCTATGTATATATACACACATAACCCTATTGAAGAGTCCACACCTCTTAGATGAGCGACAAGGCCCTTCAAACTCCAACTCATCTACTCTGTAGCCACTTCCCCCAGTGTGCCTCTTTTCTCTCTTCACCCCAAGTTCTGGTTAGTCACAGGCAACTTCTTTCTATTCTCTGGATGCACCAGGCTCTTTCCTCGCTCCAGCCCTTTACACTTGTCCTTCCTTTTTCCCCGACTTGCGGGAGACTAGCACTTGCTCCTGGGCCAGGAAGAACTGAAAGCTCTCCCCAGAGCCCTTCTTATCACACTGATGTCATCATTTACTTACAGGTCTGTCCTGCCAACTCCCCTCCCCAGACTGGGAACTTCTTTGAGTTACATTCACTTTTGTACTGGATTTCAAAGAGTGCTCAGTAAATGCTTTTTGATTGCATGCAGTGCATGCCAGAGAGGCTCCCTGGTGGGCTACTGAATAATCTATGAGTCTTGGAGCAGAAGGATGGGGGGAAATGTGGACAGGTGGGGGGAAAACAGCAGCTGGGCAGGAGACCTTGCAAACTGTAGGCACTATGTTGAAAGATGAGGCTGAAACCCTTTGCTCAATGGTAGGGGGGCAGGGGGCAGCTACAGAGCAGACACTCCTCATCCTAAGGAGGTAATTACTGGAGAAGATTTCTCCAGCACCTCCAACCTGGGTCCAGCCCCTGCCCAGCTGCAGCTCTGGCAGGACACAAGCAGAATGGGCCAGTAGAGAAGATCAGCGTCTGGCCTAGGAAATGGCAACTGTGACTGCTGCCCTGCCTGCCTCCCTGGGTAGGTGTGGGAATCGAGTGAGGGAAGAGGTGAGAGCACTCCAAACTGGAAGGACTGAGCTCTGTGGAGGAGTGACCGACTTGCTTGGTAAGGCCACTATATTCTTGACCCAGTCCTGCCATCTCTCAGGCTGGGGCTGCATCTCATAGTTCAAAGTATGTGTGTGAGTGTCTGTGTGTGATGGGGGTTCTTTAGGCTTCCCTGTGTTTTACACACACACACACACACACAACCTAAATGCAGGGGACCTGTGAAGAGATGACTGGCTCCTGGACAATAGGGAGGAGTAGTAATAGATGTGACAGAAGGCTGCTGCTTCTTTGATAACTTTTCTGGGTGGGACATCTTGTACCCATCCCCCCAAAAGTCCTCCAGATTTTGCTAAGACACAGGCTGGAGGTACCTCCTTTCCTTTGGGGCTGCAGCCTGTTCTAAGGTGGAGAATAGACAGGACCAGGAGCCTCTACACCCCTGGGCACCTCTTTCCCCCATTCCCAGCTTCCCAGGGGAGAAGCAGGCCTGAGAAAGTAAATGGCCTGTTTCCTGCCTCTCCCCCTTAGCACACTCCCCACATGGGCCCTGGTGCTTCTTCTCTGACCTTCCAGTCCCCACTCTGCCTCGGCCTGATGCAGGCTAGGGACTGTGACCACCTTGTTTTACCAGGTTTGTTATATTGGGCCCAGGGAGGAGGAAAGGAAGGTGCAACATTACAGAAGAAGGGGAAGGCTGTTAGCCCTGGGAAAATTACTTCACCTCTCTGATCATTCATTTCTTCCTCTAAAAATAAGGAGTTAAATGCCACTTCTCATGGTTGTTGGCTGATGAGAGGGCAGGGGGCAAGCCCCTGGGCATGGGGATGAAAGCCTTGAGCTCACACCTTAGCTCTTCAGTTGATTAGGCATAGGCATGTGACTTTGGACACGTATATCTCTCTAGACCTCGGTTTTCTTGTCGGTGAAATGGGGACATCAACTGCATTAGCTTGTTGTGAAAAGTAAACACACAAGTACCTAGAACTAACTTCTGCTCTAAAGGAACAGCAAAGTGATTCTGCTTCCCCCTCCCCGCCTCTGCCCTTTGTTTAAAAAGTAGCCTCAAGTATAGCACAGAGAAGACATGTAGTGACTCTATAACATCTTATTATGCAGGTGGACAATGACTGTTATCGGGTTTGTGGTGGGGACTTGATAATAGGGGGGAATGTAATAACCGCAATGTTGTTCATGTGAAACCTGAGCATAAGATTGTCTATCAATGATACCTGAATTTAAAAAAATGTAGCCTCAAGAATGGTGCGGCCACATTGGGACACAGTTTGGCAGTGATTTAAAGTTAAACATACAACCAGCCCAGCAATACGAATCCTAGGTATTACCCAAGAAACATGGAAATTTACATTCACTAAAGGGCTCGTGTTCAAATAGTCATAGCAGCCTTTAACATAATAGAAATATAAGTGGTTCAAATTCCCATGAACTGATGAATGGTGGAACAGTGATATGTACATACAATGGCCAAGAATCAGCAGGAAAAAGGAACTATTGATACATGTTATAACACGAATGAGCCTCAAAAATGTCATGCTAACAGAAAGAACCAATAATGAACTATTATATACTGTGTGATTCCATTTATATTACGTTTGAAGAAAGGCAAAACCATAGTGACAGAAAGAGTTATGGTTGACTGGGGCCAGAGGTGTGGGGAGCAGATTGACTGCAAAGAGGTAAGAGGGAAGTTTGGGGGTGATGGCAATATTCCATAATTTGACTGTAATGGTGATTATGTGATTGTATACAATTGATCAAACCCATTCAATTGTAGATAAATTACGCTTCAATAAAGCTGCGGTATAAAGGAGCAGGGGTTGGGGAGTAGCCTCAGTCAAGCTTCCTGGGGCTGCCCAGTATTGTCAATCCGTTGTTTGGTTACTTGTTTTTTAGAGGCCCAGGGCCTTGAAGAGGAGAGGAGAGGGTGGTGAAGCTTGCCTTACACATGCCCTGGTTGTGCTACAAGGCGAGAGCTTGGGTGGGGCTAAGGAAAAGCCCCACCAGGATTAGATGGTGGCCCAGCCCCCTGGGGGCAGGACAGGGAGTGCTTACCTGGATGGAGGAGGCTTGGGACCTGAGTCTGGACAGAAGGAGCAGGACACTTGCAGACCCCGGGGCCCAGAAGTTTTCCCCACCTTCTCCCTGGGAACAGCCAGTGACCTGTGAGCCTGCATCTGGCTGGGCTTTGGAACACCGTGCGCCAACCTGGACTCCGTGCGCACATGCAGATGAGAGCGCTATTGCTTCTTGCTGGTGTTACCCTTCCACTTTCTCATGCAACTCAGTGTGGAGTGTGGAGCCTCCTTGGAGAGGCCCCATTGGTCAGCAGAGTCTATTTTCCCAGGTGCGGGGTGGAAGCTCGAGCCAAGTAATGGGACATGAAAACACACAGAGAAAGTCAGATATTTCGATCCCGGGGCCTCTTGAATATAGAGGCCAGACATGCAGGGCTTATTATTATGACATCACAATGTTTCCAAGGACCAGCCCTGTTTGTCTCCCTCATCTCTAGGCAAATATAAAATGTTGAGAGATGGCTTTGAGGTCTAATCCATAAGCAGCACAGTGGGAAAACTGCACCAGGGCCTAGTCAGATCACAAATCCAACCAAAGTTACTCAGAAGAAAGGCCAGCACACAAGATACCCACCCTGTGCCCTCAATTATGAGTTCTATAAAAAAAAAACTCAATTTCTTATGCTAAAAACGATTTTGAGGAAGTTCTATGAGGAGCTGTTGAATGATACATTCAAATGTGTTTTCCTGAAACCAGATATAAAAAAGAGCTTTCTTTTCATTTTAAGGGGCTGGCCTGACCCATCTGGAGGTGAACAGTATGTTTCTTCTCAAACACTGAAAGGTTTAGAGACCCAAGATTAAACTTGAAAGAGAACATATGACAGAGAGAGAAGTGAAAGGGGAAAGACCTGGATGTCAGCAGATTTTTGCTAAACCTGAATGAAATTTTATTTAAGATGAATTAATCAAAAAGAATAAAATTCTTAGGAATATCCTTAACCAAAGATGTGAAAGACTTGTATACTGGAAACTACAAAACATAGCTGAAAAAAATTAAAGACACAAATAAATGGAAATACATTCCATATTCATGGATTCAAAGATTTAATATTGTTAAGATATCAATACTACCCAAAGTG